CTAGGCCTAGTGCAGAAAAATAATATATTGGTAGATCTGTTTTCTTTTTCAGTGGTTAGCTTTTTTTCATTTGGTTTTATGTTTTATTTGCTCGTTTCACAAGAAGAATTTTGTTAAAGCCAAGAACAACATCAGAGACCGAACTCTGTAAACAAAATAAAATAAACAACATAGAGAAATGGTGCTGACTGTCCTCGTCCTCACACGTCGTTGACAGCTTTCACTTGTGGGTGTGCCCTTTCCCTCCCCCACTTCGTCCGTGGGCTCGGAGGTACACACCCGATGGTTGTTTACTTTTTCTTTTTGTTGAGAAACAGTACCATGTTGACAGTCGATGCTTTGAGACAACTTCTTCTGGCAGATATCAGTTCACCTGCCTTCGAAAAAAGTCTTTCTGCTGGGACTGAAGTTGCTGGAATGTGCAGATATTTCCGAGCAAGAATGCTGAGTCTTGGAAAATTAGACTGGTTTTCTTCCCACCACAGGAATGGGTCCTCTGTTCGGCTGAGGTGAGCTACCTCATGATACCTCCTCATTTCCACGTAGGGTCCCGTTAAGTTAGGGACTGTTGTTTTTTTCAGGTTTTCAACCTTTCTGTCGAAAGTGTCCCAAAGAGACTTTTTTCTTGGCGGCTCCTCCCTTTCTTCTGCCTCCGAGTCCAGGGGTGTTTGTGCAAGCACTGTTTGCTCTGAAGGCTCGGATCTTGTCATCATATTGATCAGACGGTCCTCCACTTTTGTAGCCGAGCTGGGGTCTGCAAATGGGAGTCTTTTGAACCTGGGATCCAGGAGTGTGGCTGCTCCGAGGGTGAAATTGCCTTCCAGACAAGAAAAGCGTCTTCTTAACTCCAGCTGAAGCTGATCTCTCAGAGGTGATTGGGGCTCTTGTGATAGTTTTTCCATAATTTGCCTCACCGTAGGCAGCATCTTGGACAGAGAAGTGTGCTTTTCTGTTGAGGCCTCCTCTGTGGCGAGCTCGAATGGGGAAAGGACCTCGATGGCACTGCGGATCGTGTCGACCTCAGAGTCAGTCACACTCATGGATGTTCTTCCCATAGAACAGAGGGCTCCCGTCACTGCTGTGTGCTCGTCAGCGTATCTCGATAGCATCTTCAAAGTGGAGTTCCACCTGGTCTCTACGTCTTGAATCAGTTTCTTCTGTGGTAGTCCAAGAGTCGACTGGAAACTACGGAGCTTTTCTGCAGCCTTCACGCTGTGGTGAAAAAAAGAAACAATTGCCTTCACTTTACCAATCACTATGAGGAGGTCGCCACTGTTCTTTAAACCGTCTCTGACGATCAGGTTCAGGGAATGGGCAAAACATCTGACGTGGTGTTTCTTCATATGGTCGTTCACTAGAGAAACCATTGTGGAGGCGTTGTCAGTGACAATGGACGAGATCTTTTCCTCAATGTCCCACTGCTCAAACAAGTCCTTTAATAGTACAGCAATGTTTGCAGCAGTATGGTCCACTGCTACCTTCTGTGTCGCCAGGACAGCTGCTTGCAGTTTCCATGAAGTGTGAGGTGCCAAAAAGTGTGCCGTTACTGTAATATACGATTCTGTCTGACGTGAAGTCCATAGATCTGTAGTGATGGCAACATGTCTCGCTTCCCGTAGTACTGTTTTCAGCTCGTCCTCCTCAGTCTTAAATTTTCTTGGCAGTAGGTCTCTTGTGATGGTCCTTCTGCTTGGCAACTCATAACGAGGATCTAGACCTTCCACAAAGTCCCTAAAACCCTGGTCTTCCACAACAGAAAACGGCTGCAGGTCTTTCACAATCATTCCTAACAGCAAGTCGTCGAGAGCTGTTTTCTTCGTGGAGCCAGTTTCATACTTGTTCACCCTGGCAAGAGCACTGCGAACTGAAGGTTGGGTCATGACTGGTGGCCTAGGCTGGAGGTTTTCATGTGATTCAGTGTTCTTGTTCATTGGGATCGGCTCTGGTACTTTCATGTGTTTTACCGCTATATGCCTTCTCAAGTTCGATGTGGTTCCTCCTGCTATGTAGTTGAAAGTGGAGCCACATGTGTTGCAGGTGACAATCCCTGGAGAAGTCTTAGACATGTAATTCCATATGTCAGATGCATTCCTTCGTGCTGGTGCCATATTAAAACAAAGACAATAAAAGTATTTCACAATATGTTTCAAGTCTCAATACAGGCAGAAACAATAAATATTATACAAAGCGATTCAACAGAGTATGCCGCCCGCAGTAATACAAGCAACTTGTCAATGGTACAAAAATACAACGGGTTTTAATGGACTTGTATTTTCAAACAAAGAACATCAGAACAGCAAATTGATTAAAAAGACAGCAACAACAACAACAATCCAGGAAAAAATCTTTATGCAAAAATAGTCAAAATGAAAGCAGACGTCAGCGACGTAAGAAAGAAGGCGTAACAAAGATATCGTAGTACAGTAAAGTCTACGAACAGTGTACTGCCGAAGAGCAAAGAGCAAGAAGAGAATGAAGGAGAAAGATTTGCCCGTGAACTTTTCCCTTTTATACCGATGGGATTCAGTTTTAACTCATTTGATGAGCGGGAATTTGGTATAGAGTATAGAGCCTAGTTACAGATCAGATAAGAAAATAGGCCTACTGTTCATTACTGTTATTACAGACCTTATGAATGGAAGCGAACTAATAGACGAATGCGTTGCAGTAATTTAACTGTAAGTGCCTACTGAGTTACAGGGGTTAATATCAGTTATAATAATCACTCCGCTACTCTACTGTGTGTGACGTAAATCAAAGATCACGGATGAGACCGACAAGTCTTTCGTCATTTTCGTCCTCTTTGAACTCTCTCTGTCACAGAG